TTATGGGTGCATTGATTTTTTGTGATGGTTTTATGGCTGCAGATATACTGAACAGGGAAGATAAAAATTTGTTTGCTTGCCTTTCCTGTAATTTTTTTCTTGAAGCTGATTTTTTTTAAAAAAATCATAGGCCCATAGGTAAGGTATGTAACCCATATAATATTTGCAGATTCATGGTTAAAGTGGGCAGGCCAGTAAGCATTTATCTAGTGCTTTATGTTTCTTTTTACTTTTTCAAATGTGACATAGATTATATAACTCTCAGAGATGATGTTTCTTCATAATGGAAGCACTGAGCACACATTTTTCTCTCCTTTGCTTTTATGTTAATACCACATTCAGAAGCGCCTGGGTGGCCCAGTTGGTCAAGCGACAGACTTCAGTTCAGGTCATGATCTCATGATTTGTGGGTTCGAGCCCTGCATTGGACTCTGTGCTGCCAGGTCAGAGCCTGGAGCCTGCTTCAGATTCTGTGTCTCCCTCTCTCTCTGCCCCTCCTCTGCTCATTCTCTGTCTCTCTTTGTCCCTCAAAAATAAATAAATGTTAAAAGATTTTTTGTAATATTTTTATTTTATTTCTAGGAGAGAGAGAGACAGCGTGAGCAGGGGAGGGTCAGAGAGAGAGGGAGTCACAGACTCTGAAACAGGCTCCAGGCTCTGAGCTGGCTGTCAGCACAGAGCCCGACGCGGGGCTCGAACCCACGAACCACGAGATCATGACCTAAGCGAAAGTCGGACGCTTAACTGACTAAGCCACCCAGGAGCCCCAAAAATGTTAAAAGATTTTTAAATACCACACTCAGTAATCCTCTTTAAATTTTCCCTTTGTATCAAATGATACATTTTTTTTAAATTAATTATTTTGAGAAGGGTGGGACAGAGAGAGAGAAAGAAAGAGAGAGAAGGAGAGAGAGAATCCCAAGCAAGCTCTACACTGTCAGTGCAGGGCCCAATGCAGAACTGATGCCATGAACTGTAGGATCATGACCTGAGCCGAAATGAAGAGTCTGACACTTAACCATCTGAGCCACCCAGGTACCCCTATATCTGATACTTTTAATTATTTCTTAAGAAATGTTAATTACCCATTTATTATACACTTCTTAGATAATTAACCAATATTTGATACTTATTAAATATCAATGTATTAAATTCGGTTTATTTATTCTACATTTCAGTGAGTGTCTCCGTGTACATGGTGGGTGTGTGCTGCTAGGTCCCATGAGAGCTCTACAGGTGAATTCGGGAGGGTCACTGTCATTAATAAGAGTATGAGGAAAGATACATACAAATAATTCTAATGCAATGTGGAGTACGATGAGGTCCTAGAGACATGTATTACATCCCCATGTTCTCAGTTGCCTTCCAAAAAATCCCACCTGAAATAGAGAGACATTCTCTGCCTTTCTCTTCTCTTAAAGAAGCAGTCTTTTCTAAATGCTGGAATGATATGCAACATTTTAAGCTCCTGGGGGAAACGCTCTATTAAATCTAAACAATATATAACACTTAGGGATTTTTAGAATACATCTCTTCACACTTTTCCAGCTGTAGCCACGGCTGATTTTGAAGATAGAGTCATTAGGTATCCAGTTCTGAGCTAGATTATCTAGTATTAAAGCAGCATTCTGGGTGGGGGGTAACTCATTATTATGTTATGATGGCATGGCATGAGAATTCTCATTTACTCTACAGGAATGCCTAATGCACAGTTAAGCCAATTCACTTCCTAGATGAGAGCACGTGATGCTTGCTGGCCAGTCAGTGCATGTTGGGAACCTGGGTCTGCATTAAATCGGCATTTCCTCATTTTCAAATAACTGGGTGTTCTGTGACTACTGTATGTCACTGGTTACTTTCACTGAAGAAACATAAGTTCTATAAGTTGAGATTATTTTGACTTTTGCAGTCTTTTTCTTATGTGCACTTCTTCTGGTTTGAAATAGTTGCCACCTTAAATCAAGATATTAAAATTTTTTTAAATTAAATTTGTTCTGAAACTGTATTATGTTTGCTATTTTTCAGTATGAAAGTTTTGTCATGTTGTAAAGAGATTATTTTCTACTTTATAGAGTCAATATATTTACTTTCAAATCACTGATTACACACAAAAAAGCTTAAGAATCTGGAGGAGTGGTTTCCTTTTTAAACATACTACATTGTTGGGGAACCTGGCTGGCTCAGGGAGTGGAACATATGACTCTTGACCACAGGGTTGTGAGTCCAAGCTCTACATTGCATGTGGAGCATGCTTAAAAATTTTAAAAATACTACATTGTGCTCTGCTTAGCTTCTTGGCTAACCATACTAAGTTAGTAAAAAGTGTGAGTGTCTGTATATGTGTATATATACATACCTATATGTGTATGTGTGTATTTATTTGTAAGTAAAATGTAAATTTGAAAAACAAATATAAGAAGAAGCATAATGTAAAGAAAAGACGTTATGTAGATTGTCATCGCAAAATGTCCATATACTGTATTGTTTTGATAGATGCATTTTTATGGGTCTGGCAATTTTGCTGAAATAGTCAATTACTTCTTTAGGTTAGATAGATCTGAACATTCTCAGAATAATTTGGAATAATGATCTCTATGATAATTTTAACTTTTCTATGGACAAAATTGCTCAAATGTCCAGAGGACCCTAAGACCTGACTTAGAAACTCTACTTTGTGCTGATAAGGAAATGTGTCTCATTCATTTGTCAAAGTGTTAGGGTTTGGGATGAGGGAGTGGAAAACGGGTAACCATACGTCCTCTTCTCTGTGAGTGTGACACTGTCAGTTTAGCAGGAGGCATTTATCAAGTACCCAAGATTACGTAAGATTAATTTTGGGAGGTACCTAAATGAATAGGGCAAAATACCTGTCTTTAATTGACTTGTACACCATATCTATGTACCCTATGTTATACAATCTTTTTTTTTTTTTTCCAAATTGAACATGCTAGGGCCATATTTGTTGCTAGATATTTTCAGAGCACCTCCCTATGATGTAGCATATCTGTTTGCTCCTGGGTTGAGCTGCCTAAATGAGAAAAGTGCAAGGAGATTCATGATAGGAGATTTAAAATGCATTTATAGAGGTAAATTTCCATTCTTCTCAGTAGAAAACAGTAAATCAATATGAATAACTTCATTTATGATATAGAAATGCAGCAAACAGCCTATTAACTCATAAATGGTTCTCAGTTAAAAAGAAGCAGCAAGCCTTCGGGGCGCCCGGGTGGCTTAGTCGGTTAAGCGTCCGACTTTCGCTTAGGTCATGATCTCGCGGTTCGTGGGTTCGAGCCCCACGTCGGGCTCTGTGCTGACTGCCAGCTCAGAGCCTGGAGCCTGTTTCAGTCTGTGACTCCCTCTCTCTCTGACCCTCCCCTGCTCACGCTGTCTCTCTCTCTCTCTCTCCTAGAAATTAAAAAAAAAAGAAAAAAAAAAGAAGCAGCAAGCCTTCATGATTAGCTTTGTACTCCCTTATGGAGAAACTCTAAATTATCAAGCACATATAGTTTATCCCAACAATATCTCCATGGCAGAGAGACACATATTGGGTCATGGAGATACCAAATGATGATTTCATCAACTTATGTTTATGAAAATAAATAGATGGAGAAGAAAACAGAGACCTGCATATCATCAAATTCAAGATATGAAATAAAATTCTCATGTTAAATAAAAGATTTAGTTCACTTAAAAATAATGTGATAAGGAGGCCTTTTGAATGCTAGGTGAGGTATTTTAAAAGGATTAAGCATTTCTCCTTTTAAGAGAGATAGTTTGGCTTCTGTATAACTACTGTAGACAGCCTGTAGGTAATGCATCAATTACCTGTCTATGCATAGGTACAGAATCTCCATGACTGGCTTTTTTGACCTTAGAGAAAACCTTGATTTAATCAGTTTGTAAAATACAAAACATGGTATTTTAATTGTTCTGCTGTCACGCTCCTGGCTTCTTCTCTCTATCCCACATGACCCAGAGTGCTGCACAGATGGCTCTACAGTTGTGAACAGGTCTGGGACAATCTCCCTGTGGGACAGACATAAATCTTGCCAAAGGGATACAGAGAGAAGTTTGTTTGTTGCTCAGTTTTTCCATTTCCAGATTCTTACTGAAATTGAAGTGGAACATTACATTCCCCATGAAGCATTTACCTTTTCTCCATTAATCCAGTTTCTTTGCCTCTTTCTTGCAAGTTTCAGAAAGAGATCCTTTTAGGTTTTTAAAAAAAGTAGTCATTCAAATAAACATTTTTTTCCTTCATCTTTCCTGGAATAGGAACCACAGAATTGGTTTTTTAATCTCCCATAAAATATTGAATTCATTCTGATGTGTCAGAAATGCTGGTAGCAAGCTCTCCGGCCAGCAGAGAACCTGCTGCCCCCAGCAGCTGGAACCAGACGTAGGCAAGAAGATGCTAGCTTTGATTTCCTTGACACAACACCTTTCTTCTTACCTTTGACCTGTTCACACGCTTCTCACTCCTGCAAGAGGCCATTCCAAATTTATAAGAATCCAAAGCAAACTCTGAAATCTAGTCTAATTTCTACAGTGGGGCATAATTTGAATCTACCATCACAAAAGACTTTGAGAAATACTTATGAAAGGATTCATACAACTCAGAACTCAGGAAATGCGCCACAATATCATACTTGTCAAATTCGCAGTTACTTAAACAGATGGAGTTTTGTGTGAATGACCTTTTCCTAGGCAAGAAGAAGAGAATCCAGTGGGAAGTCAATATCTATTTAACTTTATTTGCCTGCATTTTTCATACTGATTGTTTATGGCTAAATTGAGTCTAATATAATGACATCCATCCATTGAATGGTAATTAGATCTTAGGAGAAATAGTGACAATTCATAGGACTCTAAGAAATGGTAATAATTCATCCTGCATATAATTATTGTTCTTCATTGGTCTTGTTGAAGGCAATCATGTGGAGAATGAATGCAGATACAGGTATGGGTAAGAGTCTAATGTTGTTATTCTGCTCTGCCAGGTGTGTTGTAGAAGACAAGAACTCGAAGGTGGCCTGGTTGAACCGATCTGGCATCATTTTTGCTGGACATGACAAATGGTCTCTGGACCCTCGGGTTGAGCTGGAGAAACGCCATTCTCTGGAATACAGTCTCCGAATCCAGAAGGTGGATGTCTATGATGAGGGTTCCTATACTTGTTCGGTTCAGACACAGCATGAGCCCAAGACCTCCCAAGTTTACTTGATCGTGCAAGGTAAGAAAAGATGGGATAGGTAGGGAGAGGTGAGAGACAAAAAATATTGGCAAAACTCTTTCTGAAAAAACCTTTCAAATTCATTTTTGTGTTTAAGTATCTATTTTCTCTCTAAAAGGATAGACTTAAAATGAAAGGACTAAGGAGAAAGCAGAATCTTGCCACTGTGAGCCAGTACTCTTGATAAGAATATTTTCTCCTAGCGCTGAATATAGAAGCATCTAACAAAGGCCATAGCTGTTGAAATAATTTGAAACATAGTAACAGGAGCACAGAGAATACTTAGAACCATGTGAAGTTCACTACATCAACTTTTAGGTACCAGATGCCTTGCTGAAGGCTTGATTTTTATCTTCAGCATAAGGAATGTTACTAAGTATCTGTTCTTATGATAGTAAATATTATTTGGAAAATAAAAATAAAAAAATAAAAATAAAAATTTCCAGGGTCTTGATATCCTCTCAGCTGGCCAGCTTTCTTTGTCATTTGTATCTCCATTTAATGGTAAGTTATTTGTGAGAAAATCTAGTGAAAAGGATTTGCAAAGTACTGGGGACAATCTGCTTCTAGCTTGGGGTTTCCAAGGGCACATCTGAGTCATGGTTTTATAGGATGAAAACCCTAAGTGGCATACGCATGCCCCCAAACTATAGCTCTCATGGGTCCCTTTCTCATAATTGCAGAATGAGAACAAAGCTGATCAGCTGCAGAGTTTTATTGCAAACGAAGTCAAACCACTAGCCGTTTCATCTAAGCACTAACAAATATTAGGGCTACGTTCATGTATTCTTGATTTACAATTTTATGTAAATTTAATGCAAATTAGGCATAGCCCTAGGGCTCCTGTCAGAATTCCAGTGCAGTCAGTGGTGTGGGAAAGTTTGACTGTAGCTTCTATTAATGAGTTATGGAATTGATTATTGCAGCATTTAAATTATTGCTCTCCCAACTCCTCTGATTAATAGATTGAAACTAGAGTAAAATACATCAGAGACTGTCTGGTCCAGAGGTGGTTTAGTCATGTGACCTCTATCTTGGTCCATTTGCAATGGCTGACAGCTTCATTTTATTGCTTATAAAAGGCATGTCTACTGACCTGCAAAGTTCCTATCATAGTCAAAGCATAGAGTGTTTTCCTTGTAGTTTAGTACAGAGTGTTTGAGCTCTATAACATGATACTTCAGGGCTTGGATCTCAGGCAGCCCATTTAAAAGTATAAACATAACCAGAGATGTGTAAATACGTAAATGGGTTAACTTACCAGCTCCCTCAAAAACACAAGAACACATATATTCTCTCTGTCTCTGTCTTTCTGTCTCTCCCTGTCTCTCTTTCATGCACACACAAACACACATACACACACATCCTCCCACCTCAAAATAAAAGAAGTTCTACCCCATGCAATGGTAGGGGAGGGGGAGATAACTAGTTTTTTCAAAGCCCCTTAGAAAAGATTTTATCTAATGGCTAACTCCACATTACATTATGAGATTCCTACACAATTTTAATACCTTTACAGACTTTAATGTCATTGGAAAGCCATTAGACACCACAATTGGAAAATGTGTATGTGTACTATACTAAATAAAATTTGGCAATTTGAGTATTATATTCTTTGGATTCTAGATGAGGAAACAGAAGTTTCTTAAATTGAAGTTACTTGCTACAGGTCACACAGATAGTACAGGGGGTAAGTTGGAGCCAAGCAGACCAGGAATCATATCTGAAGTACTTTCTACTGGAAGGGAATTTTTTTTTGTGGTGGCTTTAAGAAGCACCAGATTTACATTTAACACAGCTCTTAGCACTAAATGCCCCAAGCCTTCTCTCCCACCCCCTTTTTTTTCTTATTTATCAGTATACATTTTAGTTATGAACTAAATGTACTAATCCTGAGAGGGTTAGAGGTATAAGTAAGTTAGATCGTACTTGCATATGCTTTCATACCATGTCAGCATAACTGAAATTCACTTAAATTAACTTAATATTAAGTGATGGAGAAGAATCTACCAAGTCCCATGTACTGTTTATTCTGCTGTGAAGGAGAAAATTTTCTCTAACCTTCAAGATTCTTCTAATGGTCTGAGAATTACATTGACATGAAATAGATTAACAAGAGAAGATCAAATTTAATTTCATAATTAGAAATTATGAGAAATGAATAATAATGAGAAATCCACATAAACATGAGAGTACAAAGACAATCAGGCAAAATGAGTTCTATATATCACCCTGATATAAAGCCAATGGGCTGCTGGACTGGGAAGGAAAGGGAAGGAAAACAATTCACAAAAAAATGAAAAAGAGTCAGTGTTTGGTAAGCAAATGTTACTGGGCCATCCAGAAACAATGGGACATAGAGAGGACTTTGATCAACAGTGCTTACAAGGTTCCTTCTTATCTACCACACCTAATTCATATTATAATGTAGTTATTTATGGTGATAACTCTCTTGCTGGAGCAGGTCCTTTATCTAAATTCTTTTAGGCAATTAGGAGGAAGTCAACATTTCTTCCTAAATCTTTGGGCCTTGATTATTTTCAGCTCTGAATAATCTGTATGCCAAAGGTGCACATTTTGGCACAATTCTTTCTGACATCTTATAGTTCATTATCCCATTTGAATCTAATAATAATATTATTAATAAGATATAAATAACTTTACTATAAATATGCAAAGGCTTAAAGTTTAGAGACAATAAGGAGTCTGCCCAAGCCTGCCTGTTGGGTTAGGACAGGGTTTCAAACCCATATCTATGTGATTCAAGATATTACTGTATTTTTTAAATAACATTGCTGTGGAAGGAAAAAATGAGTGACAAAGCCTATGCTTATAAGAAAGATGAAGAAAAGATCTTCTCCTTGAACCCAAGTCATGAAGAGGAATTTTTCTGACAATTATATGGATGTTGCCATTTTATATCTGCACCAGATGGCTGATCCACTTACCCTTAGGGCATTAGATGTTGTGATTAGATCAGGGGTTCTGTCCCACCATGCTGTTTGTTCATACTGCTTCCTACTCTATGCCTCAACACTATGTGCTCATCACATCAAAGATTCTGTTTCTAGGATGGCTGCCACTCCTCCCTCCAAGTCTGTAGCATCTTTCATCAGAATATAAGGGTCTTTTGAATTTTTCAAATTCTGCCTTTCTTGCTCTCCACAGTTTCTAAGAATCCAATTTAACTAACCATTAAATAAATACTGGATTCTTTTTCCTTGCCTGATGGTGAGGCCACCTTTAGCTCTAAGGTGCTATGAGATATCACTAAAGAACAGCAGTTAAGAATGTGGGCCTTGAAGTCATATTGCCTGCTTCATATCTCAGTTTTCTGTCTTGCTACTTAAATAAATTTGGTGGTAAACTACTTTGTTTCTCTAAGGCTCAGTTTTGTCATATGTAACAGAGAGATAAAATTTAAATTTTAAATCTTCCGAAGTTTATTGTAAGGATTAAATTAGATGATCTCTGTAAGCCCCCAGCCCAGGATCCAGACATCATGTGTTTTTTTTAACCCAATAAGATGATAATGATGGTGATGGTAATGATGGTGATGATGGTGTAGGATAACAAGGACAACCATGATGCTGTTGCCGCTCCAGTGTTTGTCAGAAGGCTCACTTTTGCCCGGGGTGCTACCCAGTATCTAACAGCTGCATCCATTCGTTGCCTGTTACCCTTATGGCAGGCTCTTTCAGCTTTTATTTTGGTTCTGTCCCACCCATTTTCTTCAGTTGTCCTGTTCCTTAGCATTCAGCCTTTGGCTTCACTTCCTTAGGATCCTAATGGGTTTCTTAGACCAACATTACTTTTAAAATTCTAGTTACATTTACTAAGAATATTGAAGGAGAAAATGCCGCATGCTTCAGCAACACTTAGACGGTTTGTTAAATTTTAGATGGGTGGGACTCCCCAGAATTCCTGATTAATTATTTCTGGGGACAAAGGCTGAAAATATGCATTTCTTACATATTCTCAGGTAATAATGATGCTGATGGTACAAGGACCACACTTTGAGACCCACTAATTTAAAACAATTGTATACCTTAAAAATATCTGGGGAAATGTTTCTGAATAATTTCATTTAATTTCACATAGTGTTGTACCTCCAAATACTTCTAAAGTGTTACCTGCCCCTCAAATACTCCTAAAATACTCCAGTAAGATCACTGGGCATGAGACAGAGGACAGGTAGACTGACAAATACGTCACATTTAAAATTTTTTTTAATGTTTTTTTATTTATTTCTAGGAGAGAGAGAGAGAGACAGCATGAGCAGGGGAGGGTCAGAGAGAGAGGGAGTCACAGATTGAAACAGGTTCCAGGCTCTAAGCCGGCAGTCAGCACAGAGCCCGACGCGGGGCTCGAACCCACGAACCGCGAGATCATGACCTAAGCGAAAGTCGGACACTTAACGGACTAAGCCACCCAGGCGCCCCGACAAATACGTCACATTTAAAGGTGACATCTCAGGCCCTCCAAGACTGCTTCTAGCATAGTTTTGTTCAAATAAAATCTCCTCTCTTCCAAAACTGTCCATTTTCAGGATTCAGAGCCGAAAAAAAAAATGTTGAGACCTAAAAACTGCTCTAGATTTCAAAAAACTCAACTTTATAAATTTTTAATTATTTATATGCCCTTAATGTTTCTCATGTTTCATTTGCCCTGGAAGCCTCATTTCCTTTTCTAAGTCTGCACCGTATTAGTGAATATTTAACATCTCCAATATTTTCTCTCTTAAGTTTTTATCAGTTCATGAGGGTTATTACACAGAAACTATCCAGTGTTGAAATAAATATGCTGCATGATTCACTAAACTCAGTCTTCAGCTAAATGACACCTCTGCACACCTTCCTCATGGGATACAAAGGTGAAAGTTTTGCATCAGCCAATATACAAATCAATAATGATCTTTGGGTTGACTTGTGATTAGCGGTATTAAATGTTGCATCTGTGGAAGCCAAAGCTATTCAAATGTGCACACGCACTTGAGATAC